TTTTTGCGGGTCACCCGTCGGGTACCCGCGGATACCCGACCCGATGCAGGACTCTGCTTTGCACACGGAGACCGACTCCGTCGTCCGGACGATACATCGGTACGCAAATGCGCTTTGTGACACAAGTGACGGTACGCATTTCAGATTGTTGCCGCGCATGCGTACCTGCGTACCACTTATGTGCACCCCTGTCTATAAACCCTTTCTAAGGTGGCTGACAGGTGCCAACCCGCTACAAAGGCCCAACAAATTTCCATTAGGAGAAACCCGCAGCACAAATGTGCCAAAACAAAGCAAACGAAGAAACATCTTCACCAACTTCACAAAAAAACATTGCAAGAAGCTCGAAACAGAAACCAGAGGACACTAAACAGTGACGCACGCAGCTGGGAAATGAGCACCTGTTGACGTCCGGGGGTTAAAAAGTTATAGAGTCAGTTGTTTGAAACTTATCTCAAATGTAAGTTTAATTGGCTCCTATTGAGAGAAAAACTGCAACACAGAAGCACCACACATCAGGATCATGACTCTGACATTTGTTTTAATAAACACTGAGACATTTGTCAGATAATAAATACATAAAGTGTTTTCAGGGCAAGAATTAGGTTGCAGGTTCAATGCAGGACAAGGCAGCTGAAAAAAGGCAAGTGAAATTGTTGATCTTCATAAAAGTGTTCCTTCATTGTTACTGTTCACATATGCTTTTCACATTTCTTTCTGATCATATTTTTACAGAGCTATGCTGTTCTTGGAAGGCTTCTTTCTTCTTCTTCTTCATTAAGCCCATGTCCAGGTACAAGGACATTTTTAAATAAAGACTGTTTTGATTACTTGAATACAAAACACGCCTCATATAAATATAATAGTACATTACACTGGTAAACCTTTAGATCTGTTGAGTAATGTGAACATAGCTGAAAGTCTGTAACGTGCTGAGCAGGTTTGTTTAAGGAGTTTGAATCCAGGAAGAAATCCAGCAGATGTTTCTCTGGGTTTCATTCAGTGTGCAACGAGCCAGGCTGTCAGTCTTGTTTGTTTACATGAATCATGTGACGATAAAAAACCGATCCAGGATGTCAAAAGAAGTATTCCCAGGAAACAAGCCTCACTTCATTTAAACAATGGTGTGGAGTGTCCCTGAAGGCACTGAGGGCATGTTGTACCTCAGACTCTTCCAGAAGTTTCTGTTTGAGCAAAACTTGATACATTTGTTTGTTTTGAGGGAGGGTTTCTTCCACTTCAAAGCTCCTTGTTTCCTCTTGATGTAGCGCAGAGACTCCGGAAGGCATCTGTAATCTACCGAGCCTAGAGGAATACAATCAAATGTTGACCATATATTTAAATAAAGATATTCATACATTTACATGTTTACTTTAGCAAACCTTTACAACGATTAGAGAGACCACTTTAGCATGTTTCATAATGACACTTTTCAGAGCTCCTGGTAATTGCAGTTGTTAGCAATGGTGGAAAAAGTCCTCTGATGCTAATTTAAGTAAAACAGAGCCCAGTCTGCTCTGATTGGTTAGCTGGCCGGCTCTTTTGTGATTGGTCAACCGCTTAGAGATGTCCTGCCTCTTAGCCTATCACGTACAATGTGTTCGAGTGCTAGCCAATAGGAGCGCAAGTGTTAAATATAGCTGTCATTCTGTTACGGAAGTAAACAAAAGAGTCCAATGGAGGCGTTTCAGGCTTTCAAAATGTTAAGTATTGCAGCAAAAACATACTTAAATACCAAATCATAAAGTACTGATTATCCAAAGTGGCCATTCGGGCAAAATATTTATTATATAATTTGGCAGCTGTTAAAGGATCTCCACCCAACAGCGAACACCCTGTGTGTGTGTGTGTGTGTGTGTGTGTGTGTGTGTGTGTGTGTGTGTGT